TGTGGGGAGAGAGCGAGCCAGCAAAAGTGGAGCGAAGCTCATTAGCCATGCCAAGGTGGATGGCGGTGTGGGCAGGGTCGGGGTACGTCGAGAGTCGTGACTTAGAATTTTTAGAACCGACGCGACCACTCAGCCCATACATTTAATCTCCACAATGTGCACTGGGAAAAAATTTAGAGCTCAAAAGTAGAGACTTTATGTATTTATTTATTACGCACGAATTAAAGCATCCGTTTTATATCCTATATATCCTATAGCTGCCATATAACTGATTGATCGGAAATGGTATAACTTTGGTGTTTTTAGAGTTAGAGAGTTCAAATTTGACATGAGTGCTATTTTTGGCAAAACATTACGACATGCCAAATTTCATAAGGATCGGCCGACTATATCTTATAGCTGCCATATAACTGAACGATCGGAAATGACCCAACTTTCGTTTTTTTGAAGATAGAAAGCTGAAGTTTAATACAGATTCTATTTTTGGTCAGTTGATCCAACGTACCAAATTTCATAAGGATCGGCCGACTATATCCTATAGCTGCCATATAACTGAACGATCGGAAATGACCCAACTTTCGTGTTTTTGAAGATAGAAAGCTGGAACTTGGTACAGATTAAATTTTGATCCATCCTACCAAATTTCATAAGGATCGGCCAACTATATCCGATGTTTGCGATATATATCCGGTTTTAGCTGCAAGGGTATATAAACTTCGGCTCCGCCCGAAGTTAGCTTTCCTTTCTTGTTTTAAACTAAATAATGAACAGAGCCAATCGGAATTTTTGTTTTGAAATACCTTTGCATTTGATCGGCATTTTTTACATTTTTCCAGCTAAGCGATAGCATATTCTTTTGCTAGCATCCCTAAAAGCTTTCATTTTGTTGTCTGATACATTGCACAGTGGCCGGATTGACCGATTTTTTTGCAACTTGGCACAATTGATGATGAGATCACAACAAGGATATAGCCAAAATTTGAATTCGATATGACCACGCCCACACCTACCGCCCCCAATTCCATTAATTTGAACAAAACCCATGTACGCATGAATATTATTAAAAGACATTTTATATATTTTATTTTTGTTTTTAATGTTAAAACTTAATATTATTCATAGTAGTCCAGTTCCAATGAAAAATAATCATTCGAATCGGAGCTGGAGTCGCTGTGTTCAGCTTCAGTTGTACTATCGCTTGTCAAATTTAAAAGAACTGTAGCACTTTCCAAAAGTTCGATTACATCAAGTGGGAGAATTTTTGTTTTGTTTTTGCATAGTCTTTTGTTCAGATAAAGGCTGGACACTAAAATATCAGAGGAGTCCGTGGATCTATATTGAAGGATGGACCTATAGAGGAGCTATATTTCTATTGTATTTAGCTACATTTTGGCTAAAATATATGTCGAAACTCTTGACTTTTTTCAATATGTTGCTTTTAACTTCCGAGTCAAGATTTTTTATGCTCAGTTTTTCCAAAATGTAATCAGATACAGCGTCTTTGTTTTTGTTGCTGCGTAGCCAAACCCCAAACAGTGTGCAGTGGCTGAATTCGACCTTGTCTTTAATCGACAACGATAGGAAATGGAGCAAAAAGGAGCAAAAGTTTTTAATAAGATTATCAAGAACAAATATACATTAATACTTCTGCAAACTCAAAGGGTGACAGAAAGTGACAGAAAATTAGTTATACTCCATAATGCACAGACACTTTTAATACAAATTAACTATTTTAAGACATCACGAAAACAATTCACAGAAAAAACACGTAACGCTGATAACAAATTGGTTTCATTAAATTATATTTTACATACCACAAATAACATTTTCCATTTTGTTTCGTTAAAATTAGTGCCCGTATTACAAATTGCGGAAAGTTCAAAGTCTGTGTACAGCTTTCCGCCTTTTTGTTTGCGATAACCTGCTGATCTGTTAATGAACTTTGCAGCCCTGGTAGAAGCTCAGGGATGCAAATATTTAAATAAAACTAATGGTTTATACTAGTTGGAGAAGCTACTTTAAGAATCCATTGACCATATACGTTTGTTTTGTCATGAATTTTTGGATTTTATGCAAAAAAATCGGGCAATCCGGCCACTGTGCATTGGCAAAAGTTTAATTTTCAAATAAATCCATAATTGCTTTCTCCTTGGATGTTTGAGTTTAGCTTCAGATTTTGCGAATGCATACCAAGTTTTTGGTATGCAACATTAATGGTCAGTCTTTTCTTTCTTATCATACAATGCAATTAAATCTCTTCGATATTTTAACTTTTAAAAATTTAATTTTGGCCAACAAAAAGGGATTTCTGGACATTAGTTCCATACAAATACATTCACATGTTAGACTCACCTTTGTGTTCGATTACGTAGAATTCTCCCGTAAGCTCACTAACATTTAATATCGTTTTAGTGTTAACAGTGTCGGTGTGCAGGCAGAGGCCGGGCAGAGAAATTTGAAACCCCGTGGTACTGAAGAATTTCTTTAAAATTTCACCTAGGTTCCTAACTAAAATACCAATGCAATAAAGAGGACAGTTTATCCGCCTTTAGTTTTGTTAATTCCTTTATCTAGATTTTAATCCTTCCCATCTGGTTAGTATTTTTCTTTTGACTAATTCATGCAATCTTAGTAAAGCCATTCTCACGGTGTAGACATGGCTCCTTTGGAGTTCTTGCTCTCTTTCCACTTTGTTTAAGTTTTTTTGTTCCCCCGTTTCATATTACTAGTTGTATATGCCACACATGCATAGGCACACAACCATATGTGTGTACGTCGCCGCCTTCGTTGTGCTGTAGCTGCATGAGTGGCTTAGGCCAAAGTTGCTATAGCAAACGCCAACTTGTTTCACTCCGCCTGCTTCCTTCTGAGGCTTGTTTTGATTTCTTACACATTTTTGCCATTAAAATGCAGAAAATGTTCTTTAAAAGAAATTTTCAACGGAATTTCGTTGGTCTCTCTCTTTTAAGTGGAGCACAACAATACAGCAAACACTGCCCAAGCATGAACATTCTTTCTGTGGGGATGTGGATGTGGCTGTGGATGTGAATGTGTCTGCGTGTGTGGGCGGAAGTACGCTTCTCTCTCAAACAGCTAGGGTGTGCTTGTGTGTTTCTGTGCGCGGCTAGAGTTTTATGAGCAAACCGAACTGACATGTTAATTATTTTCCGTGGAGCTCTAGGGACGCATAAAAGTCTCGCAATTTGTAACGGCGGAAGTGCTGCAAACTGCCAGAGAAGAAAGAGACACAGAAAATTGGGCAATTTCGATGCACTCTTTCGCACTTTGACCCAAAAGCAACAAAGTGTTAAGTGGCCTCGAACGATGTGCGAAGATTTTCCCTTCACTTCTGATTGTGAAAATATTTTAAAGTGGAGCACTGCTACGTATTTACACCTCCTCAGTTAAAGTACTTTGTTTTTAATAATAATTAAGTTCGGTTTTACTCCTGAAGTATTGATAGACTCGTTCTTTACTTTGTGCAGGTCCCTGAATTTGTATTATCCTATGTTAATTTCATTAACAATTACTGCAACTTAACAATTTTCATAAGGGAATCCATTTTAGGCAGCTCTTAAAGCCCTCTTAAAGCAAAAACCTCTTAAAGTTTAACAAATATTTTATTAAGTGTCGTATAGATAAATTCATTATTTGTCAAAAAACAAACACAACTTTCACAATATTTTTTTTTAATAAATCTTCATGCTCTGCCTTCCTGAGGCGTGCACACCGCCACAAAAATACAAGAAATACATCTTTTTCTAAGAATACATCGCTAAGTGCTATCACAAAACAATACTAAGCTAAATGGTAAAATTATGCTACAAAATTATTAGCAGGACGGTAGCAAAAAGTATTTCTTTGTAATGTTTGAGTTGTTAAGAAAGATATGTGATTTTCAAATTAGCATTCGAATGATGTAGAACAATATATATTCCCCTAAAAATAGTCGATCCAACATATTTATTATCGCAGAATCATTTCCGGTACTTCGTTTGGAGACCAACTAAGCCACTACAAATAATTTGTACCAGCGGAAAGCTGATACCGAAATTGTATATTGTAAAATTGTAAAATAATTGAAATTGCAAGAAAGACAATCCTTTAAAATTTTCAAATAGCCCCATCTGAATAGCGTTTTATAACGTCTAGAGCTAAATGAAAATTGGCTAATTGGAAAACGCTGACAAGAAATTAAATTAAACCTGAGTTTGGGGCAAATTAATACAAAAAAAACAAGAAAGGAAAGCTAACTTCGGGCGGGGCCGAAGTTGATATACCCTTGCAAATAAAAGCGGATATATATCGCAAACATCGGATATAGGCCGATATATATATACATAGTCGGCCGATCCTTGTGAAATTTGGCATGTCGTATTATTTGAGCTACAAAAGTAGCTCTCGTGTAAAATTTGAACTCTCTAACTCTAAAAACACCAAAGTTATACCATTTCCGATCAATCAGTTATATGGCAGTTATAGGATATAGTCGGCCGATTCCGGCCGTTCCGACTTATATACCGAGTAAAGTTTCAAGTCGATAGCTTAAAACTGAGAGACTAGTTTGCGTAGAAACAGACGTCCGTTTGTCTGAGACGGACATTCTCATATCAACTTAGGAGGTGACCCTGATCAAGAATATATATACTTTATAGGGTCGGAGATGTCTCCTTCACTGCGTTGCACACTTTTGGACAAAATTATAATACCCTCTGCAAGGGTATAATTACAAGAATCATTTTATAAGATATAGTCGACCGATTTCGGCGTGTATACTGCATGCAAGGGAAAGAAGGGTGCTAATAGCTTTGAAACTGGAGACAAGTTCGCGTAGGAAACAGATAGACGGACAATCTTGTTGACCGAAATTCCCTGCAAGAATATAAAAAAACATTCTCGATGACTAAATGACAATGCATAAACTGTCGCTTGCAGAAAGATACTCTGATTGGCATTCGCTAGGAGGGAGCTGAGGTTAGCACAGGTCATGTGGCACTTACCCGTAGAACACAAGCATGTTGACCTGTAAATAGACAGAGGAAAAATGTCAGTGAAGCAATCAATGATGATTTGAAATAATGAAAAGAATTGAGTGTGTATTCCTGCAGTTCGGCAATAATTTTTTTTTATTCCTTCACCAAGTCCTCGACACTTTTTTCATTGTCGTCTGAAAAATTGTAAAATTGTAATAAATGGGGGGCTTGAGGTGCGTTGAAAAATTGACGTTGCCTTTATAATCATAAAAAATTCAATTCTCGCCAAAATCGCACAAATTTGTTATACGGCCTGTCGCGGAATTGAAAAAGAAATATACGCGGTTAGTCGGGGGGGATGAATTTGTAGGACTAAGGTATTCGAAGCGTATTTGAATGTTTTATGGTTTCGAAACCGAAATAAAATTCATAAAATCGACAGGCTTTGTGCTTCCAGGCCCAGCCGTGGGAATGGCTCCGGGCCGGAGCAGAGCTTGGCGGGGCAATACGACGTAGGGGCGTGGTCGCTGCACAATCAAACAATAAATCTTTTTTGTCGGCGCCGTTACACACACTAAGCTCATTTAGATTTATATACCCAAAACTGTTGGGGGAATTCCATTTGTGTGCTGAAAACTTTCCTGCTTTCACATTTTGTTTTGCTCCTATTGGCCCCCAATTGAGTGCACGCTCGTCGCTCTTCGCTTTCAGCTTTTATGCGTATTTTTATTATCAATTCCGTTTTGCACTACGCCGTGCTCCTCAGATGCAGCCCGGAGGCGTCAAACTCAATATATTTTTAGCTTAAAAAATGGCATATCTTGGCATTCTTTTGAATTTAATTAGAGTATTTTTGTTCTGAAGACACTCAAGAATCTCCGAAAGCAACTGGATAAGCCCCAGGCGCTCCATCCATCCAACACAACATTCGGCCGACCTATTATACATTCTTCACAGCATAGGAGTCGCATTTTGACACATTGCACTATGGGCTGTAAATGTTTTAAACTTGACTACGCCTTTGCCCGCCGCCTACAGAGAGTGGGCCATATTTCCATTTTTACTTACTTTTTACATAAACTTAAATTTTTCATAAAAAGAAATACAAATTTTAGTAAATATGGCTCCATTAGTTATTAAATTTAATTTAAACCTCTAACAGCGTCGTCTTTCCGGTTGCTCTCCTCCAAACTTCTACGAGCGCTTTCGAAAAGGGGCAAAAACCATTACTAACAAGAAAGGAAAGCTAACTTCGGGCGGAGCCGAAGTTTATATACCCTTGCAGTTAAAACCGGATATATATCGCAAACATCGGATATAGTTGGCCGATCCTTATGAACACATCATAATAAAACCAATTAACTAAAATAAAAAATCTAAAACAAGTCCCAAGCTTCTATCTTCAAAAATAAGAAAGTTGATATTTCTACCAAATACCATTTCCGATCGTTCAGTTATATGGCAGCTATAGGATATAGTTGGCCGATCCTAATGAAATTTCCTAGGTCGGATTAACTGACCAAAAATATAATCTGTACCAAATTCCAGCTTTCTATCTTCAAAAACACGAAAGTTGGGTCATTTCCGATCGTTCAGTTATATGGCAGCTATAAGATATAGTCGGCCGATGGCATGTCGTATTATTTTGCCAAAAATAGCTCTCATGTGAAATTTGAACTCTCTAACTCTAAAAACACCGAAGTTATACCATTTCCGATCAATCAGTTATATGGTCGCTATAGGATATAGTCGGCCGATCCCGGCCGTTCCGACTTATATACTGCGTGCAAAGGAAAGAAGGGTGTGTGCAAAGTTTCAAGACGATAGCTTCAAAACTGAGAGACTAGTTCGCGTACCAAATTTCATTAGGATCGGCCGACTATATCTCATAGCTGCCATATAACTGAACGATCGGAAATGTTTTTTGGTAGAAATACCAACTTTGGTATTTTCGAAGATAGAAGTTTGGGACTTTTTTTAGAATTTGTATTGTAATAAATTGGATTATATATTCCTATTCAGATAAGGATCGGCCAACTATATCCGATGGTTGCGATATATATCCGGTTTTAACTGCAAGGGTATATAAACTTCGGCTCCGCCCGAAGTTAGCTTTCCTTTCTTGTTTTATATCATTTCAGTATAAAATCAAAATTAAATTATTTCACAAAAAAAAAAAATAATTTTTGCCAAAAATTTGGGTTTTTGGCATTGTTTCACTATTCAAACGTTAGGTTCGCACTGAGTTACTAAGCAGTGAAAAATTGAAAATTTTTTTGAAAAAAATGATGATACGCTCTGCAAACTATACGTTTATAAAATAATAAACTTTATATGGCTGGTGCTCCGCGCTTCGTCACTCATTTTCATTTAAGGATGTAGTCTCATGTGTGAGGTTGAAAAAATCGTTTTTTTTTCGTCACATATTTTGAAAGTACTGTTTATTAGAATGTACTGTTGAAGTTTTAAATAAAAATATCAAATAATAACAGAGATACAGCCCATAGTCGAGAGCGCGCCTGCACCAAATAGTATGAGTTACTCAGTAGCGTCTAAACTTTAAACGCGTTTTTCTCGGAACGAAATTTTTGTGTGCGGCGCAGGGGATTCACAAAATTCTAAGGTACCGATCTAGCTGAAATTTGGATATGTTGTTCTAAAAAGTAACACCTCTGTCCCGTACTAGAATCATTTATTTTTAATGATTAGTTTTTTATTTATCATTAAGTAAAGATAAATTTTTAAAATTAAAAAAAATTTTTTTTTTTGTGAGTTTGCCATTTTGTTGTTTATTGATGAAAATATTTCATTCTTGTACGGAACAGAGCCATAAGCTTACAAAACAATAATCTATTCTAATTTTTTTTTTCGGGTGACTCTAGCAGTCGAAATCCTCTGCGCCAGGGACCTACCACCATAAAGTGTATTAAACTACACAAGAAAAAATTAAACAAAATATTTTCAAATAGTTTATGATGCCTATAAAAACATATTTGAAAATTGAAACGATCACAAAATAAAAATTTGTGTCTTTATTAGCAGGGTTATTTGCGTCAAATATTATTTACATATTATGCATACATATTTTCTAGTACATATACATATATGGTTTATTAATGTTATTAATTTTTAAAAAGTATTCTTGACCTTCGAACATAACCTAACACAGTGAAACAACCCCAACCCCAGTAAGAAAATAATTTTTAACAACATTCATTTTACAAACTTTGAGAGGAGTTTAAGATAAATGTATATCAGATCCGCTATATGTTGGATATTGTAACTCGCTGAACCTAATATTAATAAAAAACTAAAACTAAACTTTTCTAAAAATAGTATTTGCAGAGACTTAGAATCGACAGCGAGAGACAACGGAAATGATTACATCTTATAGTCATATGTAGTTTTGGGTCTGAAAGATCTCCTTCACTGCGTTTTACGCTTCTGACTCAAAAAAACTCGCTGGAAATACCGTAGTACTATATGTATTTTCACATAATAATCCCACAAATTGAAATATTTACCATTCTCAGCGGGAGCTAAGAATTCATTTCCATTCATAAAGACTTATTTCTTCTTAAAACATTTTTAGAACACTTTAAAGGTTTCGAGTTCAGTGGACGCTTAAGCAGAACAGTAAACTGACCATATGTAAGTACGGTTGTGAAAATAAATACGCTTAATGCATTAACTAAATATCAGATTACATGTTAACTAAACTGACATTCTTTGATCTAGATTCTAGAATCTAGATATTGTTTCAGTTACTTTTCGTACTGGGTTATAACACCCGGATCCATGTGCAGATAAGCACTAAAACTGACACATTGGAACACATGTGTGTGTTAGACATGCATGGGTAGGGTATAATTATGTTTTTGTGGACACTCACTTACATATGTATGTATGTATCATGTAAATGGTTGGAAAGTTGAATCGATTAGGCATCGTATACGCTTACCTCCTAAACAATTTTTGGGCTCACTATGGAAACATATGTCGTACGAATATTATACGCCGACAAATTGTTGATAAATTATTAAATAGAGCATAAGCCAGGGTTTACCTATATCGGAAAAAAAACAAAAGCGAAATGGAAAGGGGCGCAATAGTAGAAGTTAATAGTTTGAAGCGGGCTAGCACAACAGCAGGGGCTTTAAGGACGATTGGCAGAGGCACGGTAACTGCAAAATGCAGAGCACAACGATAAGACCGTGCCACCGGAACATATACAGCGGATAAACCAATAAGAATAATAGCAACAACTGCAATAACAACGACAACCATGGACACAAGCACAGACCCTGACACAGACCATTGACGGCAGAAAGCAGAAGCAGGGAAAGGAAGCCACAGCCGCAGCGACGCCAGACATCGTCGCAAAGCCGAAGTACGAGGTAGATAACGAACTACAGCGAGAAGGTACACATGAAGAAATATTTGCAGTGGGGTGCCTATAAAACAGATAAGAATGTGGTGGTGGAATTGTTTATCATGAGTAAACTGAAGGAAAACGCGAAAGTATTGATTTAATTCTGCTTCGTTCGGTTCGGCACTGCAGCGGGTCATTTAATCTTGTAAAAAATGATTAAAGCTGTGTCCCCTCCCACGAATGCGGCTGTTTTTTCTTAAGAGCATGCATACGCACTTTTTGCTCAGTGGGGAGGGGAAAGCGAGCAAATGAAATGGAAGAAAACGGAGAATGCAACGCAGCTTAGCCATGGAGTTTGCTGCTACCGACGCACTAGGATGGGCCGAGAGGTGGCGCCCAGCGTGGGTTAATACTTTCAGGTATGTGCTACGGGGCGGGTGGTGGTGGGCCGGTGGTTGTTCTTGGGCGACTATCCAGTGCGCCGTGCCATTTATTTGTGCAATTTCTGCGATTTTTTCTATTTTCCCACCGTCATACACTCGCACACGTCCACACTCACCAGAGCCTTACACATGTGCATTAATATATTAATGCGCATAATGGAGTATGAAAGAAAAACAAGCAAACAGATAAATAAACAGACAAGCAAACAAACGCATTGGGGATAGAAATAACAAT